CTTTCTTTTTTGGTGTGTGTGTGTGTGTGTGTGTGTGTGTGTGTGTGTGTGTGTCTGTGTAAGTTTGCATTTAACATTTTCTGATCATTGTTGACTGCAGGTAAATAAAACCTTTTTGGAAATACAAACTGTGGACAAGGTGGGGACTGGTGTATCTTTTGTTCAGATGCCCTTCAAATTATTTCTCTAATTCTAATAAATCATCCGTGATGAGTGATCTGTCATTTTTTTTCCATTTCTACCCATTAAATTTTTTTCTACCCATTAAAATTCAAACCCCAGGAGAAAACTATGTCATTAAATCCTATAAGGAATCATGTAACACTCTAATTTTAAAATATATGCTATGGAATTCTAAGGCATCTCTTCAGATTTGTAAGGTAAGTATGAATTAGGCATACTGTAAAATGTTCTAAGTGTAATATGAAGTGAAACTGATAATATATTTGTGAACTTTGCAGTTTTTAGCCTGCTTACCATCTTGATCCAATTTATCAAAGATTCTTACTTATATCAACGATTCTTATTACATTTGTATAGAATCAGTAAATTTAAATTGTATCTCAAATGATATTATCTCATCTAAACAAATCTTAGAGACACAGGTTGAAACCTGTTTGGATTAAAAAAAAAAAAAACAAAACTACTTTCCTACTACAGATTGAAATCAAAGGATGTAAAATATTTCAGGTGTTTAAAAGAAAATAATTTTAACTCAGAAATTCCAGAGTAAATCAACTTTGATATTGCCAAATAAAAAGAAAGGGAGACAGTTTCAATAAACAAGTCCCATCTCAGGAACATGTAATGAAAGCTGTTGATTGGTAAGAGGAACAGAGAGAGCATAGATGAAATGTGTAGTGCATTACTAGTTTATGTCATCCTTAAAAGTCAGGAAAATCTAATATGTATTTCAAATAGCTTTCAGAATTTAATACTGAGAGCCCATCTCTTCAGCAGTATCCAGAAAGTTCTTAAAAAATCAATTTAAAGAAAACTGATTTTCCTTTCATTGCTTTTGTATCATTTGGCTTCATGAACTTCAGGGAGAACTGAACAAGCAGAACTATGCCCTGGCAGTTGAAAAACTGGCATTGTTCTTCCAAGGAGATAGATCTGAGTCAAACAAAGGCGTATCCTCTATTAATATGTAAACTTAACAAGCAGGCAAATCTAATGCTGCCAGACCTCAGGGTCAGAATATTAACTTTTCTTCCTGGCATCCTAGAGCTGGAGTTGAATGCCAAGTGATGAATTTATAATTAGAAAACAACTTAATTGTGATTTATAGGTGCCGACAGGCTGACACCTGATCTTCACTTACTCTTACTAGCTATCATTCTTTTTATGTCCAAAGAGAGATAACTCAAATAAAAGGTTTTGTTTATGAACTTTATATTCTAATCATTATTTAGTATTTCTATTGCGCACCTTACTCAATTCTTAAATTATATCATTTCTATGTCAAAAACTTAATTGCCTCAAAACAATTTGATGATTCTTGAAATGACAAAGGTTATCAAACAAGTTTGTTTCAAGAAACACAGTAAAAGTACTAGATAAACAATTGACATTGCAGAAGAATTACCTTATGCATCTCATAGAGTTATCAGTGCCCAATTTAAAAACGCACATAAAGTCGGACTGAATAGTCAAAAAATATGATTCAACATGCCATGTGACTGTGCGTAAAAAGAGGAAAAGCACTGTAGTACAGAAGCTTGTTTCATACAGAGCATGGCAGAAATATTCGTTAATACACATTTAGTGCTACATCACTAAGAGAAACATGATATGAAGGAAAAACACATAATATCCACATAATGATTGTAGCCTAAGAAAAGGTGAGGAGGTATTGGTGATAAGATTTAGATGTCTTGCAAAAGTACAACAATACTGTCAAAATTTTATTTTAAATTAAATATCTGTGTGCATGCAAGTGTAGAAAAATAGTTCAGTGGTTAAGCACCTCTGGGTTCAATCCATATTACCTCCCCCCACCAAAAAAAAGAGAAATGTGCCAATAAAGTTCAATCTCATTGCATAATGATTAATTATCAAAACATCCAATAAAATTAATAAACTTTGGAGGACTTTTTGTTAAATATGAATCTGATGAGAATCACGTAATTCATATGATGTGTTCTAGAAACTTGTATCTATAATTAATTTTTTAAAAATCTTAGCATAATTTCAATGTTAGGGCAATTATTTTTAGGCTCAAAAAGCAGGATTAAGAGCAGGGATCACATTGATATTTTTGTTCTACATTTTCTGCTAGTATGTATTTTTTTATTTTTAGTCAGTTTTTTTTTTTCCTGCTGTGACTTAAAGACGTGGCCAGAACAATTGTGGAAAAGGAAAAGTTTATTTGAGAATTCAGGGTTTTAGAGTTCTCAGTTCACAGAGAGCTGGCTCCATTCCTCGGGTAAGGAAAAACAACATGGCAGAAGAGCATGGCAGAGGGAAGCAGCTCACATGGTAGTCAGAAAGCAGAGAGAAGCTCCACTCTCCAAATACAAAATACATACCCCAAAACCACACCCACAATAAATGACTTCATCCAGCCTCACTTCACCTTCCTCCAGTTACCACTCAGTTAATACCATCAAGGATTAATTCACTGATATGTTAAGGCTATCATAACCCAGTAATTTCTCCTCCAAACCTTGAATTGTCTGACACATGAGCTTTTGGGGGACACCACATCCAAACAATAATAGTATTCTTTTTAACTAACAAACAGATTGAGATCTATACTTTGATTATGAAATGACATCAAATAACATTTTTGATGCTTTTATTAGTATATTATAGTTATATATGATATTTGGGTATAATTTGCTCTACTTCATTCCTTAGCACTTCCTCTTTTCCTCCTCTCCTCCTTCCTCCTGTCCCCCCTTTTCCCTATTCAATTCATTTTCCTGCTATCCATTTATAGTTTTTTTTTCAAATTAACACACACTCAAATATATGTACATATAGACATATATATGAAATTCACTGTGTTATGTTCATATGTATACATAACATAATTAGGTCATTTTCATTCCACTGTTCCTCCCTTTTCCCATCCCTCCTTTTCCCCTTTCAGTCTTCTTCCTCTACTCCACTTACCTCCCTTCCATTTTTATTAAACCCATCTCCCCTTTTGTGTTCCTTATTTTGGACTAGTTTCAGCACATGAGAGAAAATATTCAACTCTTGGATTTTTAGTTTGTCTTATTTCAATTAGATTCACGTTCTCTAGATCTAGCCAATTACCAGCAAAAGCCATAATTTCATTCTTGTTTAGGCTGGGTAAAACTCCATTGTATATATACCACATTTTCTTTATCCATTCGTCTCACATTTTTAAATTATTCTTGGAATCAAATCTTTTGGAAAAGAGGAATAGCCCCCCTCCCTCCCTCCCTCCCCTTTCTCTCTCTCTCTCTCTCTCTCTCTCTCTCTCTCTCTCTTTTGCAGTGCACTTAATCACTTTTTTGAATGTGTTTTCTGTTAATTTTATAATAGGAAATGATACCTAACTCATTGTAGCAAGAAAATAGAAAATGTTTTTCTGGCATGGTCACAATATAAATGACTCTGGCTAAGAAGATTCATGGAATCTGAAATCTAGATGAAATCCACTCCTTAATACTTGCTCCCTGACTCAAGTATGGATCAAATGAAAAAAATGGACCTTTCTGTATTATTGTCCTTTCAAAAGTATTCGTTTTGGTGATTTAACCAAAAGTGCTACTGATGCTAACTACTGTACTAAAGATATGATCAAAATTCTGCATCTGAAGTTAGTGAATATCCAGGGCATTCTAAGTGTATTTATTGTCTGTTATAATATTCTTTATGAAGTCTTAAAGTAATTGAGGATTTACTGTGGCTGCCCATGATACAATTATGAATAGACTGAGAAGGATTCTTACTTTGCTGAAATTTGCATTCAGGCAGAGGTGTCTGAATGTAATACAAACGGTGAGAAAGGTAAAATGTAATACACACCACACACACACACACACACACACACACACACACAGAGTAAAAAATAACTGGAAATTGACATGAAATAGTTGAAATTCTAAATATAAACACTTCCAAGGCCCATGTGCTAAGACATACTTGAAAACACAGAAGTTTTTCTCTTATTTTAAAGATGTTATTTTAAATGGGTTTTGATGCTAGTGACTGTGTAAAAGTAACATTAAAAAATCAATCATATAACGTATCTTCTAAACTAAACATCCTCTATGGTTTTATATTATTGCATTTAATATTTAGTTTTACTGCATATTAAATGTTGTGCCAAAGAACATCTATTAATGGTATAAAATGCTCTTTTCCCTAATTTGATTTTTCATGTTGTTGCTATAAAATTTCATCACTAATACCACTTCTAACTCACCATGACATATTGTAAAACAAGTTTTGATATAATTAAATTCAAATTATCATAAATGTTAGCATAGTCTTTTTTTCTCATTACTCAAATATTGAAAGGAATAGATACTATTCAACTAGAAAAAAACTGCAAGGTCAAGTATTTAAATGTGTGTTTATCTCTGTGTGTGTCCAATTCAATCACAAGTTACTTGGGGTTTGATAAGTTGATGCTGAATAAGTGAATAACGAACACAAAAATATAGTAACACCTTGAAGAAATCTGTATGCCTCACTTACATTCTGTCCTGATTTTTCTATAATTCAGGAAATTATTTGTGGGAGGAAAAATGATTGAAACAGGAGGAGGGGACAAAGATACCAACAAAATAATATGCAACAATTTGACACCTGTCAATTATGCCAAATTCAGTTCCTCTTCAGAATACAAAAACTTTGCTTTTACTTTTCATTTGGTCTTGAATGGCACAGCTCTCTTTCTTTCTTTTAATAAGGGTTGCAAGAAAGAAAAGCTGTGCAAGGATGTATTGCTCATGGTGATGAATTAAACTTGGCATGACTTTCCTTCCACCTGTACCCAATTATTAAACCAAAACGCTTCCCTGACAATATCCTAATTGATTAGATGACAGGTCTGTGAAGGTATTCCAGCCTACCAATTCAGAAAACCTGACTACCAATTCAAAGAAAAAAATAATAAAAATGTTAGAATATTAAGAGATAGCAGGACAGATGAGGACGCTACACAGTATTCCTGTATAACAGAATGCTTAAGGTGCTTTTACCCACACTATGTGTATTACTTTGTTTATGTTATTACACACAACACATCACTCTCCACATCAAAGCTTACTATCAGAAGATCATCTGTGTAATGTGTAGTTCTTAGAATTCATCTCTCCAGTTTTAAATTAGTGAGTACCTCTAAAAACTTTTGCCATTGATGCATCTTTTCAGGAATTTACTAACTGCTCCTTCCCCCATCTGGTTCTTCTTAAATATGTGGAAAATGTACAGACTTTGTTTTTCATGACTAAAACCCATAAAACTAAATCAATTTGCTGCCTCCTGCTATACTTTTTATTCTAAGTAATACTATGTTAAAAGGCAGGAATCAAAACATCAATCTTTAAATGTGATCTTATGAAAAGACTTGAAATATTGGAATTTAAAGTAACTTTGATGTATTTTTTCTCATGTATATTCTACTACTAATATGTATTTTTGCATTTCATATTTAATTTATATTTATAGAATTATATCAATTTTTAACGAACATATTATCTTCTCTTTCATCTTAAGACCAATTTTTCTTTTGTAGTTTAACTCTTTACATTCAGTAATCCTATATCCAAATTCAGCCCCACTACCTAGAATCTGAGGAGTGGATTATAATTTACCTGGAATTAAATTGAATTTGTAAGGTCTTTACAACATTAAATACCACCCAGTATACTGGAAGACATTCTTCTTTAACAAATTACATCTGATTTAAGCATATGTAGAAAGGGTTAGAAGAAGGGTATGATTGAATAAATATTTATTGAACATCCACATATTTGCCTGCAATTTTAAGCCTTGTAGAGTTGGTCATCCTTTTGTTACCTACTTTATGGATGAGGGCACTGATATTCAGAATTTTCAAGAACATTTTCTGATGACAGACTGTTAATCTATGGCAGTGTCAGGATATCAGTACACTGCTGCGTGATAACCAAACCCATAAACTACATATGGTAATATTCAGATCCTCATAAATATATGACTACTAATAGATGCTTATAATACTAAACCATGTGTCTGCATAATCCTTCAAACTTCATATACATTCACCTCATTCAGTCTTCGGCCATCTTTTCTAAAACTGAGGCTTCAGGAGATTAGAAGACATCTTTCTTAAAAAGAAATATTTATCAGAATCCTAAAGCATCTTTAGAATTTAGCCAAAAGAAGAACCAAGAAAATTCAAAGAAGTATATTCTAGTGAGAAAATGCTATAAATGATATAAAATTATGTAATGATTCATTGATATTAAGGTGGCCATAGCATAAACATCTTTATTGCTCTGTATAGTCTATCTTGTTATCTATTTCTTTTTAATCAAGCCAATTTTTCTAGGGTAGCTTTATTTTTGAGTGATCACACATTTATTCTGTTTATTTATATGTCTATTAAGGATTATCTTGCTTAACAAGACTATCAGTGAAATTTGTAGTAAAGCTTGATAAACTTCACCTTTTCTAATGAATTGCTGAATTTCTTGCTGAATTTCTGCCTAACTTGGTCTTTAGCAAGCTGGTAAATCCTCACAAAACCTTTCTGTATCTCCTCCTGCTTATTTTTGAGCCCTGGGATCTAACAATTTGAGTCAAGACTTTTAAGAAATGATAGCTTAATTATCTTACTTGCTTTCTTTTTATCTTCCTCAAACCCTCTCCAAGTCACCTGGCTGTTACTCTTGTTTCTTGGTGTCTAAGTGGGATCTTTCATTTAGGCTGTCAGTAATATCCAATGCACCCACTGCTAAGTTGCTAAAGATATCTCCAGGTTGTTTTCTCCTTTCTCCACTCAGCTACTTTTCAAAAAGCCTGAGCAGTTTAGCTGGTACCTGAGTCAGTGGCCATCCATCCTTCCAACACTGAAAGTAAAATAATTTTCTAATCATCGCTTTGATCAGGAATATACTGGCTTTCCCTTGTCATACACCCCTAAAATCATGTTAGATTGGAGTCAAAATTAATTGTAAGTTCCCCCTCCAAAAAATTATAATATTTATCAAATATTTCTAGGGTGGTTGAGCTGATTTTGTTGTTGTTGTTGTTGTTAATTTCTGTTCATACCATTTGACATCCATAATAACTAAGTGATTCAATGACTGATTTGTGGGGTATTTCATGTATTATGATGTGTTAGGATAAAAGGAAATGTAGCAGTAGGAAAGGTATCAAATACTGAAGGAGAAAAAAAGATGTACCTAAGAATTCTAAAACAAAACACAGAATGATTTTGTGAGAATGTGCCAGCTTGCTGAACACCAATTTGGGCAAAAATTCAGCAAGCAGTTTTACTCATTTTAAAAAAAGGCGAAGTTGAGCAATACTACAATTGAGCAAATTGAGCTTTACTACAAATCTCACTGATCATCTTATCAAGCAAAGTAATTCTTAATATACATATTCATAAGCAGAAGGACAAAATATGTAATTTTGCAAAAAATAAAGTAATTTGGGGAAGTTTTGGGGCAAGTAATTCTCATACACTTCAAAATTTACCAAGTTTCCTAAAATTATATTTTAATTACTTACAAATATAAAGCAATTCCTATGGCCCAAGATGGTTTCCGGAACTTTTCAAAGCATATACCAACTTTAATTGATAAAAGTTTATTTGGTCATTTTGTAGCATATGCATGAACATTCTGTTGGTGGAATAATATGAATCAAAAGGTGATTTAGTTTTATGAATATGTTTAATTTTAGTAATGTACATTTTCTAATGTATGTAAAACCTAAATTATAGCATTAGATTGCCAGCCCATATTTGATATACTAATAAATACAAAATTGAAAAGAAAGGTTCCAACATAGCACATCAAATTGGTTGCTGCTAAGAGTACAAAATGTAAGTCAGATATGGTGTTTAAGGATCTGAAAAATTACAATGTAAGTACATTTGGATTATAAAAGTGATATTCAAAATCATCTAAAAAAATCAGAAGTAGCCAAAATAACTCTAAATGATATAAAATGCTAAAATGTTGATGTCTAACAAGGAACAGTTGGTATATATTGCCTTGGTAGCCACTATAGAAAGTTTTAGTATGAAAGGCAAGATAATGTTAAAAAAAGAGAAGGAAAGAAACTCTGGAAAATATTACATAGTAAACAGTGATTAATAACTTTTATATCAACCATAAATAGGCCTCATGACAAAAATGGTACAAAATTAAGTAGTAAAAACATGATGAAAAAACTAAACACCAAGAAAGTAAAATGAATTGTCAACATTACAAAAGAATATCAAATAAATTTTGAGTACAATTTACAATAAATGATGAGTTAATGGTATAAGCTGCGTAAGAAGTTACCAAAGGAATCCTTAGAATAACAAAGACATACAAAAATGCATTATAGAAACTGTCTCTGGAGATAAATATCAAAAAAACCAATGTATTCTCTGACAACATGTTGAAATATATATTACTTATTATAAAATATATTTTGATCACTCAAATTTGTATATTTCAAAGAACACATTTTGTGGAAAACTGGCAAATTGGCATTTTTTGAAATGGTCTCTTCTCATACCCAGGTAATCGTACTTTTGTGGCAGCATATAACAAGAGCTGACCTGGAATACACGCATTATTGCTAACTAAGGTGGTCACAGAGGGTTTGCTTTTTCCCAGTCTATGTCGTATTATAGATATATAACAAGCACCATAAGTCAGCTGTCACAATTGACAAAGACAAATGATCACTACACTGATTTTGTTTTTAGTGAGATCACCAAGTATGAATGAAAGAGCATAACATTTGTATTAAGTAAATTGTTTCTAATAATTTACCTATTGCTAAGTAGTTTTCATAAAAAAAAAAAATCTGTTAACTGATTGACATGGAAGTTGCTTACTCCTATTCTGGACTTTGCCTCTCCAGGAAGAGACATATTGGAGTAACACAAAGATAAAGAGGTTGCTTCAATAGAAGGTGTAAAGTGCCTAAAAGAGAGTTTAGGAGAACACAGAGAAAGGGAAATTAGTTCAGGTTAGACTCTGGAGAGTGTTGGGATCGTTTCCCTGAAAAAAGGATTCCTTAACTTCCTATGAAAAATCTACTATGGAAAAATGTGAAAAAAAAAATAATCTGTTCCAAAGAATTCAGAGTAAATTTTTTAAGTTGTACTTATTTTAGGTAACTTAATATAGAGACTGTTAAATAAAAATGTTAAGATGCTACTATAAAAATAGTATCACTAAAAATTGCTCCTATTTTGAACAGAAATTACTTTTGATCCCACCTAAAGTGGATCTCATATCCATATTTAATTCCTAAAAGTACAATGGATTTCTCCTTGATGCAAAAATCAATGACTAGCAACTTTTAAAATGCACTTTTATCTTTTCCTACAGGACCTAAGAAATAGAAGAGGAAAACTTTCTTCATAGTCTTACATTGACCATTACCATAAATAATGTACTTTTGGCAAACATTAAGAGACCAGTTGCTTTAGGTTTCCAAATTGGAAAGCAGATGAAATTATGAAGCTCTGGTTCTGTTCAGCATTGGACCAACAAGATGGTCAGAAGCTCTATGGAGATGTTGCAAATTAATTTTTCTAGCAATGATGGAAGCAGCCCCAAACAAAGATGATCTTCTAGGATAATGCCACTTTGACCTTCCTGGTCATTCGCAAATTAAAATAACATTCTCCATCACTGGTTAATACACATGTGATTTTTATTGATTAAACAAACTTTGATTGCTTTCTTGATTAAGAAAAAGAATGATATATTGAATTTATGAAACATCATAAAAGTTATTAGCCAATTATTAGATACATATGTTCCCCCCAAAAATCCAAAATACCTTGCTTGTATTCCTATAATATAAAAACTCTAGGCATTTTATTAAAAATATATATTTAAATCGACAAAAAAAAAAAAACAAACTCCGAGAAAAACAAACATTCTTCTATTTCCCACTAACACTGGTTTAAATGCATTTGGCAGCAAAATCTGACTGAAATAGCATAACTGCCATACAATTATTAGTTTTTGTTTCAGAATATATGTCTAGACCCCACCAGGGGTATTATACAATTTATTGTGTATGCATCAACTTATTTTTATAAATGCTTAAGTCCAGAATTTGAAACAAAACAGTGTTTATGATAAGAGATAGTAGGCTTGTAAGATACCACGGCATCACACTTCAAATCCCATTTAGTCATTTTTATCTTCTACCAACACATTTTCTCAAATGTGATGAAGCATGATAGGCTCAACAAGTAACCCGTTCACAGAATTCTTAGTTACACCGAGACTAATTCAAATGAAATATTACAAATATTACTATCTATGGATCTTTTTACTGAAAATCATTAGCCCTGAGTTGTGACTGTTGCAGTAAGAAATATAAAAGAGAATTTAAAACTCTATTCTAAGAATAAATCTTCCACTCTGAGACATTTTCTTAACCTAAAAGATCCAAAACATTAATGTAGAAATTTTAAAAAGTTGTTTAGTATCTTCCTCTAACTTACTGAAAAGCCTGGCATAGGCTACACCGAATATTTCTCTCAATCAGAATTCATTCGTGAATCTTAGAAGAACAGACATGAGCCTTGGATATGCTTTATGTACTTATCTTAAAGTCAATTAATAGCTATTTTCTGGGAAAAGTATATTGGTCCCGTATAAAAATGATGTATTTTAATAGCAAACTGCTACAGGAATAGAAATACTATCAATGTCCACCCTCTCTTTTTATATTAGGATAATTAACACACAGTGATTTTCATACATTGCTGCTCTGATGGAAGCAGCCCTAAACAAAGATGATCTCCAAGGGAAATGCTGATTTGAAGCAAAGGGGACCTCGATATCAACACAATGACAGCAGACCTCTAATTTAGGAAACTGTAGGACAACCACCTCTACAAAATAGCATACAAGGATGTTTCCATGAGATTTAATTAAAAATATCATTACTGTATAACTGTTGAAAAAAAAATCGATGAGAGACATTTCCCAATCATTCAGATTAAAATTGGACTTTATGGTTTCAAAATATGCAAACCATAATATGGTCCTAGGTGGCATTTTTAGAAATACCAACCCTTGACACTTTATAGGTAAAGAACCTGAGATACAGAGAATGAGTGGCTCACCCAGTGTGACTCCGTGGCTAGCATTGGTAGAACAGAGTTGACTATGTTTTCATTTAGCCTTGCTGCCTCCTCCCCAGCCCCTGGGCATCTTTACTTCCTAGGCCAGCTCATCAGGGCAGCTGAAAGAACAAATCTAACTTGGATCTTTGACAAGCAACTGATTCACTTTAGATGATCCCACGGTTGGCTGAACTATGAATACTAAAGATTCTTTTGGTTCCTTTTTATATTCTTATTTTTTTTACGTTCCTGGTGGGAGGGATAATATTATTTTATCACTGGAAAAAAATATAAAAGAAATACCTACCCTTCGTTTAGAGTTTTTCTAAGTCAAATCTCACAGTGTATGCCCAGAGTTTTCTACTGTCTGTGCACATTGGACCATCAACCTCAGCTAGTTCCTTTTGTTATTTCATTTTCCTAACAAATCTACATTATTTTGATTTCAGAATCCCTATTTCAATTGCTACAACTGATACAAACTTCATAAATGCCCATCTGGTAAAAAATTTTTAAAAAACATGTTTTCATGAATACATCAGTGTCTGAAAGTGATGTTTAGAGTTTTGTGATGTGTCTTGACCTCTAGGAACCTCCATCACGTGAATAATCAAACATCACAAGAAATTTTTACCAATGATAAGAACTGCTGTGGCAGATCCTGGATCTTCATCCTAATGACTTTGAATGGCATATTCCCTTAAAGTGTCTTTTTCTAATGCAGATTGTTACTTTTCTCACCCCTTGAATCTAAAGAAAAGTGCTGACAAAAACCTCTGAGGATTTCACTGGGGGAGGATGTCGGAACTAATCTGAAGCTCTAAAGTGTGCATTTTCTGCTCAGTGCTTGTCATGCACTCACTGACTCTGCACTGTGGGTTGGGGGATGCTGAGTTCACCTCTGCTTTCCTATGGTTACTTTAGCATCTGTCAAAGAAGCACTCAGATATTTGCTAGTGACAGAGGACTTGTAAAACTATATTTTAGAATCATGAACGATTGAAATGAAATGAAATCGGAGATATAAACTCACTCAAATCCTGAATTTCACAGACAATAAAATAGCCAAATACCTCCTAAAGGATTTGCTGATGTTCTTCCATTTAATAATGGCTGAATTCAAGTTAGAAGCTAGAATCTGTAAATCTAGTGATTTCTCATAAAACATTAATTCATTATGTTATCTGATTCAAATGTTCTATGAATAATTCTTCACTTTCAGAACATACTACTCTTCATTCGTTGTTTAATTTATATATTATATATACATATATATGTATATATACATATATATATTTTAACTTATTTTATAGAACTCTCCCTCATCTTCCTAGCCAAACCCTCTCCATCCTCTAATAACCACCCTTGTACTCTCAACTCTCATGAGATCAATTTTTAGATTCCATGTATACATGAGATCAAGAGGTATTTATCTTCCTTTACCTGACTTCTTTCATTTAACATAATAATGCCCATTTCTATTCATATTGTTGCAAATTCAAGGATTTCATTCTGTTTATCACTAAAAAAAAATATCCCATTGTGTATGTGTGTACCACATTTTTTTTATCCATTCATCAGTCAAGGGACACTTAGGCTGTTTCATTTCTTGTCTGTTGTTAACAGTGCTGCAGTGAACATGGGAGTGCAGATGTCTCTTTGACATGCTGATGTATTTTCCTTTAGATATGCATCCAATGGTGGGATTTCTAGGTAATGTGACCAATCTAGTTCTCTTTTTTTGAAGAACTTCATGTCTTCTTGTTGACTGTACTAATTAACATATCCACCAAACATGGATAAAGGTTCCCTTTTTCCCACATTCTTGCCAGCATTTTTTCTCTTCAGGATTTTTATTCTAGCCACTGTTACTAGAAGAAAGTGATATCTCATTGTGGTTTTGACTTGAAATTCCCTCCTGATTACTGATGTTGAACATTTTTATTTTCAAATAATTGATGACCATTTGTATTTCTTCTTATGAGAAATGGCTTACTTCAGTTTATTGTTCATTTATTAATTGGACTGTTTGTCAAATTTTGTTATTAAGCTATTTGATATCTTAAAATATTCTGAATATTAATCCCTTGTCTGGTATATTGTTTGGAAATATTTTATCTCTTTTTATAAGTTATCTATTTACTCCTTCTGTAAGTTATTATTTCCTTTTCTCTGCAGAAGCTTTGAGTTTGATGTAATTCCCCTTGACTATGTTTACTTTTATTTCCTCTGTTTTTCTGTTTCTTATTCAAAATATCCTTGCCCAATTCAAATGTCCTGAAAAGTTTCCCATGTTTTCTTCTAGTAGTTTCATAGTTTAATCCAATTTGAGTGGATTTTTTTAGTTCTTGAAAGATATGAATCTAGTTTGCTCTGCATATGAATATCTAATTTTCCCATCACCATTTACTGAAAATACTCTTCCTCCTGATGATTGTTCTTAGAAACTTTGTTGAAAATCAGTTGCCTGTAGACATGTGGCATTACCTCTAAGCTCTTTATTCTTTTTCCTTTCTGTGTCTATTTTTATGTTCATACTGTGCTGATTGATTTCTGTAGCTTTATAGTCTATTTTCAAGGCAGGTGATATAATACCTCCTGCTTTCTTCTTTTAGTCCAAGATTGCTGTGGCTATTCAGTATGTCAGGGGCTCCATACTGATCTTAGAATTGTTCTTCTAGTCCTGTGAAGAATGTCATTGGCATTTTCATAGTGATTGCATTAAATCTATAGATCATTTTTGGACATTTGAACTTTTAAACAATATTAATTCTTCAGTCCATGGAAACTAGATATATTTCAACTTTTTGTGCCCTCTTCATTTCTTTCATGAATGTTTTATAGTTTTAATAGCAGCAATATTTCACAACTTTGGGCTTATTTATTCCTAAGTATTTTTTGGTATTTACTGTAAATGGAATTGCTTTCTTGATGTATTTTTCAGGTAATTCATTTTGATGTATAGCAATACTCCTGAATTTTCTAAATTTGCTAAATTCTTTTATTAGTTCCAAAAGTTTGTTGTCAGATTCCTTGGGATTATCTTTATAAGATCATGCCATTTGTCAATTATAACAATTTGACTTATATTTTCCTAATTTGGATGCATTTCATTTCTTTCTCTTGCTTGATTGCTTTTGACTAGGATTTTTATTACTATAAATACAGGTAGTAAAACACAGAAAGTAAATTTTCAGCTTTTCCTCATTCAGTATAGTGTTAGCTATTAGCTTATCACGTATGCCTATCATTATTATTTATTTATTTTAGAGCATTATAATTATACATAATATTTGGGTTCATTTTGACAAACCAACACATAAGAGGAATTTTATTTCAAGCCCCATTGAATTTTATTTCAATCCCCCATCATCTTTTAATTCTTTGGCTCATTTATTAATTGAGTTATTTGGATTCTTTGGCATTAAATTTTTGAGTTATTTATATGTTCTGAATATTAATCCCCTGTCAAAGAGCAGCTAGGAAATATATATATATATATATATATTCATTTTCTCAGCTCTCTCTTTACTCTCTTAATCATTTCTTTGATGTGCAGAAGATTTTTAGTTTGATGGCATCCCATGTATTGATTATTGGTTTTATTTCTTTAACTTCAGGGGTTTTGTTGAAGAAGACATTGCCTGTATGGATATGATGAATTGTTGACTCTGTTTTCTTCTAACATTTGCAAGGTTTCTGTTCTAATTCCCCAGTCTTTGATCCATTTTGATTCATCTTTGTGTGGGGTGAAATATAGGGATCTAATTTCATTCTTCTACATACTAATATACAGCTATCCCAGCACCATTTTTTAAACAAGTTGTCTTTTCTCCAACATATATTTTTGGCAACTTTATCAAGAATCAGATGGCTATATATTTGAGATTGTCTCATTGTCATCTTCATTGGTCTTCATGTCTGTTTTGATGCCAGTACCATGCTGTTTTTGTTACTAAAGCTCAGTATATTCCTTCTATACATAATTTGTTCAGGATTTTTATCATGAAGAGATATTGAACTTTACCAAATGCCTTGTCTACACTTATTGAGTTGATCATATGATTTTTGCCCTTCATTTTATTTATCTGGTATGTTACATTTCTTCATCTGTGTATATTGAACAATCATTATATTGCTGGGATTAATACCACTTTTTTAGGTTTTAAATGTAAATTTAATAAGTTGTGTCTCTGTTTTGGCATCATGGTAATACTGGTCTCAAAGATATATTTTAAATAATTCTTAGTTCTTTTACTTTTTGATAAAATTTTAAGAAGATTTGTTACTAACTCTTCTTTACTTGTTTGGTAGAACTCAGCAGAGAAGTCATTTGGTTCTGAGCTTTTCTTCAATGGGCATCTTTTTGTTACTGATTCAATCTCATTGCTTGTTATTCATCTGTTCAAGTTTTCTATTTTCTCATGATTCAATCTTGCAAGGGAAATATATCAGGGGTTTGTGCATTTCTTCCACCTATCAAATTGTTGGTGTACAGTTGTTTATAATAATTTCTAATGATCATTCATATTTCTGTGATGTCAACTTGGATATGTCTCTTTTCACTTCTGAATTTATTTGAATCTCTCTTTTCTGATACTTTAGATGAGGATTTGTCCATTAAAAAATTCTTTATTTAGTTGATGTTTTGTATTCCCTTTTAGTCTCTATTTCATTTATTTCTGTTCAGATATAATACATTTTCTAATCTAATTATTTTCTTCTAATAATTTGGGATTATTTTTTTCATGAGATATAGTGATAGGTTGTTTATGTGAGATCTTTCTGTTTTTGTGATGTGGGCACTAAATGGTGTAAACAGTCCTCTTAGTACTTTTCTTTCAATTTCTCTATAGCGTATGTTATTTTAATTGATTTAAAAGTTAAATATCTTTCTAATTTAATTTTTTAAATATTTTAATTTTTTATATCTTTATTTTATTTATTTTTAAGCGGTGCTGAGGATTGAACCTAGGGCCTCACACATGCTAGGTGAGCACTATACCACTAAGCCACAGCCCCAGCCCCTCAAATTTAAATTTTGCAAATAAGTGTTCTGCTCATAGAGACACTTGGTATTCCTTATTCATTGTTAATTTTCATGTTTGTAATTTATAAAAATTGAATATATTTATGGGAAAAATATGATGTTTGGATATATGTGTACAATGTGGAGTGATTTAACCAAACTAACATACTTGTTACCTCACTTACTATTATTATTTTTGTGGTGAGATATTTGAAATTTCATCTCATCAATTTTGAAATATACAAAATTATTAACTTAGTTGTAGTCACCGTGTTGTTCGTGCAATACTCAAAAACATTTTCCTCTTATCTAAATGAAACTTTGTAAACTTTGCCTATTCTCTCTCCATTCTATCTCAACCCCAGTGCATGGTAATCACCATTATAGTATCTAATTATATGTTAGCCTTTTTTAGGTTTTAAATGTAAGTTTAATATTTTTGTCTTTCTATGCTTGGCTTCACTTATGTTCTCCAGGTTCATCCATGCTGTAAATGACTGAATTTCTTTCTATATTAGTAAATTTGTGTTTCTGTGACCAAAAGACTTCATAAGAAAAATTTAGAGAAGCAAAACTTTGTTTTAGTTTAGAGTTTTAGAGGTTAAGTCTGTGTCAGCCAACTTCATAGCTTTGGGGCCCAAAAGAGGAAGAATATCAAGGATAAAGTCATGGCAGAGAAGAGCAGGCCAGAACAAGGCAACCAGGAACAGAGAGAGCTCTCTGCTCACCAGGGCCAAAGTTTAAATCTCAAAGTTCCATTCCCAGTGGATCCCCTCCTCCCCTCACATCCTACCTATCTACAATAACCACATAATTAATTCCTGTCAGTATTTTAATCCACTGATGGGGTTATGGAGCTTACAATCTAATCATTTATTCCAAACATTCTTGTATTATCTCACACAAAAGCTTTTGGGAGATGCCACATATCCAAACCATAAACCTTCCTTTAAAGAATAAACGTAGGGTTGATGCTGTAACTCAGTGGCAGAGCACTTGCCTAGCATGTATGAGGTACTGGATCCTTAGTACCACATAAAAATAAACAAATAAAATAAAGGCATTCTATCTACCTAAAACTACATTTTTTAAAGAATAAATACTACTTTATTGTGTACATATACTACATTATGTATTCATCTGTTGGTGGACATGTTGATTCTATATCTTGGCTATTTTAAGTAATACTGCAATGAATGTCAGTGGCACTCCTTATTATTATTGTAAAACTATTTTGAATTCATTACTTATCTCCTCTTTTTGTGTCTCAGTTGACAGATTTGGGCCTAGGACCTGGTAAGGGGGATGCCCAATGAATTGCAAACATTTTCCTAAGCTCCAGTCCAATTTTGCTGCTGACTTTTTGGTATTCTGTAGGATTCCAGCACCCTTGAGTGCATGGGAACTGTTCTCTGAAAGTCAGCATGGGACTGGGACAGCAATGGATAAACATGTGATCTTCACATTGTTATTCTTTTACAAAGTATACTAGACTTTATGGTTCAATAATCACAATTTAATTCTATCAAGTTTAACTTTTAACTCTTTTTGATTATAAATATATGTGTGTTTTGTGTGTTAATAAATAATTTTCAATGGGTAACAACAAATGTATTCTAAAAAATATGCTATAGGTCCATGTCTTTAGATTCAAAATAGAACAGTATACTTGAAGTCAATAACCACTGGATGATCTCACATACACCGAATTAGAGAAGAAAACAATAGGACCATAGTAGTTCCTCCAAGATTTTGCTCTGACTTTTAAAAGAGATATGCCTATAACTTTACATATTATATTAATATGCTAGTTAAATCATTTAAACCTTTACCTGGGTAAAGGTTCAGAGTGCCACTACTCCTAAAGGTAAATCCTCTATGTTATCTTCTTCTGGCTCTGTCTCAAATGAATTCACATTACCACATTTTCTTTCTATGGATTTCTCTTGCGTTCTCAAATTTTTTTCATGGGAAGAAATATGAAGCAGCTTCTGTTTATAAAGACATCTTAATAACTCTCATTTTTATTCTTACTTTAACCCAAATTAATATTCATAAATCCCAAATATAACTAGTACTAGATAATTTCCATAACAAAATGCATGATCCTTTTATATTTGTCCTTCTCATGCACACTTTCTGTATGTTCACTTTTCTCCTCATTTGCTCTGTATATTTGTCCCTGGAAACAGCGCTTAAATTGCTTCTTATAAGACTTTTGTTTTCTTTCTGAAAACTTTTTTCAGAAATTTTTTTTCTCTAAATTTTTTTTAAAGAGAGAGAGAGAGAGAGAGAGAGAGAGAGAGAGA